GGAGATGGATCTCAGCAGTTTCCTGGGGCAGGAGCACATCTTGCATCACGGATGATTCTGGATTTCTTCAAAGGATGGCCGGTCGGATGGTCTCAGGGCTAAGCACCATCTAATGAGATGCTGACACTCTGCAGGAAACAAGGAAGGTTATGAATGACTCAGTTTGTTTTTGTGATGCAAGGGCCTTCCAAGGACCCACAAGTCTGAGGTCCAACAGAGACCGCATACTTTCTAGAACTCATATTCTTTAGTGAGAATATAACATCTGGATCCAACCGTCTGCTTTCAGCTAAAAAAAAACCCCAGCACCCCTCTTAAATCTGTGGTTTCAAATTTCAATAGCTAGAGCCTTTCCCACGACACCCACTCACCCACCAGAAATACGAAGGAGGATGACTAGGGATTGTGATGAGACATCAGTGAGCAGGAGGTGATTCAATTCACCTACCAACTTACAAATAGGAACACCACCCACAGTGAGGTCACTGGGACCACAATGTTTAGAGCCGGCCTCCATGTGAGGGAGAAGGCTCAGCAAGCACTCCACGCTTTCCTCCCTGGCAAACCAGCCAGGCACTGAGGGGTCAGGATGATTCTGTTGGTACTTTAAACAACCTTTCAGAGAAACTAGTTGTCTTTTGTTACTAGTCGCACACCTGCCCTTCCTCTGACCTCCCCCAAGAATGCTCAACGGCAAACCCTCGGCTTCCTGGGGGTCAGCTCTCAAGGGGGAACTGCTGGCCTAGGACCGGAAGTCACAGGCTGGCCACCTCCTGGAGAGTGAAGCTCCCCAGAATTCAAAGGCTGTGAAAGCAATCCCCAGACTGCTTCTCTTCAACAAGGGGTTTCCCGGAAGTTACCTGAAGAGACCCTCTGCCTGAAGAAAACTTGGCCCCTGACGATCTCCTCATCGTGCTCAAAAGGAATATCTCCGCAGACCATGTCATACAGCAGGATCCCCAGGGACCAGACCGCTGCCGACCTGCCGTGGTAGCGATGGTAGCGGATCCACTCTGGAGGACTATACACTCGGGTCCCTGTGAGCCAGGGGAATAAGGAGGAAAACACACTTTTAGCCAAAATAAAACACAAAGCAACTGAGTGGTATCCTGAGTAACTCTTTAAAACAAAAGGCACCCCAGCCCTTCCCTCGGGAGCTGGTGAACTCAATTTACCTCCCTGAGCTCAAAGGGGTGGATAAGCAGCTTATGGCATCTCTCCAACCCAAAGCATTACCCACCTCTCTACCAGCCCAGACCATAAACTGAAAGTCTTTACAAGCTGCTCCAAGAAACCAAGGGGGCTGGCCGAAGACCCAGAGCCTGAGGCCTGTATGGGGCAGGACCACCCACAAGGGGATAAAGGGATGCATGTCTGCATAATCAGGGGAGGTATCCCACAGACAAACCCTAAACTGCTCTAAAGGTTGCCCAGGAGCCAGGGTGAGATTCTCAACTCAGATATGATGTAGGTGAGGGCACTTGCACAATATCCTAAGTCAGGGTGCCCTTTGGGAGGCCTTCCTCCCGCCCTCTGAGTGCAGGCGCAGACACCCACGCCCTTTCCTCCCCACACTGGAAAGGTAGACAGATCTGCAGAGCTGGTTTCAGACCACGTGATTCCTGTTTACAAACTTTGGGTTGTAAAAAAAAAAAAAAAGGAGGGGCCATTCTTCTGGTGCTCACCAGGGGGCAGCAAAGACTCGAAAGAAAAAAAAACAAGGGAGGATCCGACCAGCCATTAACTGTTAAATACAAAAAAATGCAGCCCAGCCCAGCGTCCTCCAAGGGCAAATAAACACAAACCACAAGCCCCAGTCACAAGTTTTGAAAGGCTGTCGTTTGTTATAGGCTAAGCGGCTCAGGTGACCCACCCTACTCGGCTTTGATCGCCGGCTCTCCGTTCCACCTTTTCTGAAAGAACCTGCTCCAAGCCCCTCCCTAGGATAGGTTTTCCTCCTCTTCGGAGACACCCAACTAATTTTCAAACTAGCAAGAGATCTTATTTCACAACATTCATTCCCGACGCCCTCACTGAACAACACCGAAAAAAAATCAACAAAATGAATTATTTAGTGAAACTATTTCTGTCTCTAGTCCTTATCTGTCCCTAGATCAAAGGGGAGGAAAAAATGCAGTCTAAAAACTACCTTACAGAAAGCTAAACTCTTCTAACACAAAGCAAAAAACTACAAAAAACCGGCATCAATTTTCATCTCTCCCACTCTCTCCTCCCTCTTCCACCTCCCATCCTATTCCTGGCGGGGAAACTGGGTCAGACTTCAGAAATCTGGGCTACGGCCGGTTGCCCACAACCTCTTATTCATCCGAAAAGCTTGGAACCCACTGAATTCTACTTTAAAAAAAAATAAAACAAAATCGTGCCAGAAACATTACAGGTTCCGCTGGCTTGAAATCCCCGGCTTTACTACGCTGGGAAGCTCCCTTCGCCCCACCCCTGCTATCATGGAGCCAGGCTGCCCGATGACCTTTACAAAGGGCCAGAGAGGGAAGCTGGCCCGAGGCCTCCGGGCCCGGCCGAGTCACCTGGGCAGCTCCCTCCCGGCAGCTCCCGCCCCGGCCTGGCTCACCGTCAAAGTCCGTGTAAACGGTGTCCTTGAGCAGCGCCCCCGACCCGAAGTCGATGAGCTTCAGCTCGCCGCGGTGGAGGTCGATGAGGATGTTCTCGTCCTTGATGTCGCGGTGGAGCACCCCGCAGCTGTGGCAGTGCCGCACGGCCTCCAGCACCTGCCAGAAGAAGCTGCGGGCCAGCTCCTCCTGCAAGGGCCCCCCCGCTCCGTGATGAAGTCGAAGAGGTCCTGCACCGGCTCCGGCCGCTCCAGGATCAGCACGAAACTGTCGGGCCTCTCGAACCAGTCCAGGAGCCGGATGACGCCCGAGAAGCCCGAGCTCACCTTCTTCAGCAGCACCACTTCCATGGGCACCCGGGTTCCATTGGGCTGCGGGCACCGGGAGGCTGCGTGAGCGCGCGAGGCGGAGGGCGCCCCGCACCCCACCCACCCACCCTGGGGGTCCGCTCCCTCCTGCGCACTCACCAGCTCGCCCCAGTCGGAAATCCGGTCCTTCTCCACGTGCTTGATGGCCACCTGGAATTCACCCCCGGAGAGCCGACATTAGGTCCCCTCGCTGGGGCCAACACACAGCCCTGCGCCCCCTCTCCCCGCCCCCGCCCCGCGCGCCCTCCCCACGGCGTGGCGCCCACTCACCGGCAAGTTGTCGGCGACACGGACGCCTGAGTACACGGAGCCGAAGCCGCCGCTGCCCAGTAGCGGGCCCACCTGGTACTGCGACTCCAGGGGCTCCTTCTCCTTGCCTAGCGAAGGGGGGGAGCAGGGGACTCAGTGCCGGCCCGCGAGCCCCCAGCTCCCCCGCGGCGGGTCCAGCCCCGGCCCCATCCCGGGTGAGGGGGGCGCTTACCGGGCGCCAGCTTGGGGGCGTGCAGGTCGTTGCAGGGCGCGGCGCGCAGGTGGGCAAGCGAGTTGATTTTGGACAAGAGCATCCCACCCTCCAGGGTGTCGGCGCAGGGACTGCCTGGAGCCGCTGCCGCAGGAGCCGGGGACCGGGCGGCGCCTAGGGCTGGGCTAAGGCTGCGGGTGGCGATGCGGCAAGGCTGCGGCTGGCGCGGAAGGCCGAGGGCGAGTCGGAGGACTCTGCGGGGCATCGGCTGTAGACCCCCCAGAGAGTCAGCAGCGGCGAGGGCGAAGGGGTTGCGCTCGTAGGACTCGTGTAGCAGGCCGGGGCACCGGGGGCTGGTAGCTTCTGCGCTGCTGCTGTTGCTGCTCGCCCTGCCGCAGCAGCCACAGTCGCTGCCGCCAAGTCCTCTCGGGCCTTCGCCGCCGCGGCCGCTGTAGCAGACGCCGAGCTCGCACCGCCGCCAGGAGTAAAGGAGCGGAGCGCGCCTGCGGGGGGCGCGGGCGGGCGGGGAAGGGGCGGGGCCTCTCCCGGGGGCCTAGGCGGGGAGCCGGCTGCCGGGCAGACCGAGGGAGGAGAGGGGGTAGGGAAGCCGCGGGCCAGGGCGACTCCCCTGGTCCCCGCCCCGCGCGCTCGAGCGCCGCGCCCAGGCCCCGCCCCCGCCGGCGCATCCCCAGCCAACCAGAGGCCGACTGATCTGCATAACGCGGACGCCCCGCCCCCGCCCCGCCCTGCTCTCGCGGTCAGAATGGTCTCTACGCCGCCACGACGTGGCGGGAAGGAAAAGGCGCCAAAATGGAGGGGGAGGGGCGCGGGGCGTGCGGGAGGCGGGAGCTGGGTGTAGAGCCGCCGGGAGGAAGGATGGGGAGGGGCGTATCGATTCAAACCCAAACAATAACAAAGCCTTCAAAGGCCGCGCGAGGCCGGCTCTGCGGCTCTGCCTCGGAGGTTTTTGGGTCAAGGGCTCGAGCTGGAGCCAAACACGTTGCGCAGAGACGCGGGGCGGCCGGGGAGGCCGGGCGGCCAGCGTCGGGCGTGAGGGACGACGTGTGTGGGGATGCCGACGAGGGTGGTCTTTCCGTGTGACTCACACCCGAGACCTCCTGGTCGGCCTGGGCGGGGTGACGCCACGCCGTGGGCGCGGGCCGGGTCCTCGCGGGCGGGTGTGTGGGGCGCGTGGGGGGAGCATCTGAAAGATGTGAGTCACGGCGTTTCAGCGGCGGGTCGGAGGGGCGCAGGCAGCGCCCGGAGTCAAACGGGGAGAACCCCGCGTATGGGGCGCGGGGGCCAGATCGCGACTGTCAGCCCGTGCGAGACGTCACCCCCCGCAAACCCGCCCCCCACACACACACGCACACACGATTCTCAAGATTTTTATTTTAAAAGAGCAGAAAGGAAGCAGGTTCCGCCGGTGATGCGTGGGCCCCGGCAGAGGACATCACGACGCCAGCGCGGTGCCCGGCCCGCGCGTGGGGGCGGGAGGAGCACGCCTGGCCGAAGCGCGCGTGGGGCGGCGCCCGGGGTCCTCGGTTCCCACGCCGCGGCCGGCGGCGGCATGGAGGACCTGCGGGCAGCCCCGCACCCGCTGGCGGCCCGGCGTGTCTCCGAGGAAACCCCCTCTCGCCCGAGGAAATGACACGGAACACGGACCGAGGCGACGTTCTCCTTTGTTCTTTCCAACTTCACGTGGGGTTGACCATGACGTGGAAATGAGTAAATTAAAACTCTCTGTAATGCGTAAGTGGGATTGTCAGTGGCGGAAGTAAGTAAAAGCTAACGCTACCCCACTTTAATTTTTTTCAAGATCCTGCCACTTAAAAGAAAAAAGGATAGTGGAGGATCTGTACACCTGCAAGTCATTAATGAGCTTAATTGTTCCATTAAAAGTTTTCTGCAGCGCTTATTTTATAAAGATGCCCAGATATTTTACAACGTTTTTGAATTTGTTACACAAATATTATATATTTTCACATATGTGTCCTGTGGCTTAACTCATTCATTTTTTAAAATATATTTTTATTTATTTCAGAGAGGAAGGGAGAGGGAGAGAGAGACAGAAGCATCAATGATGAAATAAAATGGATTGGCTGCTTCCTGCACGCCCCACACTGGGGATCGAGCCTGCACCCGGCATGTGCCCTGACCAGGAATCGAACCTGGACCCTCTGGCTCATCGGTCGCAGCTCAACCACTGAGCCACATTGGTCAGGCTAACATACATTCTTTAAAGTTTTTATTTATTGATTGGTTTTAGAGAGAGAGGGAGAGGGAAACATCGATTTGTTGTTCCACCTATGCATTCATTGGTTGATTTTTTTTATTTTTAATATTTTTTTATTGATTTCAGAGAGGAAGGGAGAGAGAGATGTTGTAATGTACCCCGCGAATCACAGAAGGACGCCTCAAGAAGTCGTATTAAAGAGTCGCATTTATTGCAATCCGGGACTACGAGGGGGCATTTCGCTCTCCCAAATCTCGCAGCCATAAGATGGCCGCAACACCAGATTTATATAGGCAAAAATCACAAAGGTATTGATTACATCCCAGGGTTTGGAATGAGGATCCTGGTTTGCACAAAGCAGTTACAGAAGCGAGATTGAGCCGATTATTTATCTACAAAGATTAATTATAGTTTTGGGTCTTTGGACCACTGAGTTGACAGAAACACATTATCTAGAGCCCTCGGGTCTTGGGACCACTGAGTTGACAGGGAAACATTATCTGGAACCCTCAGGTCTTGGGATAATTGTGCTGTCCTGGTTCCCAGGTACAGAGGAATTTGCTTTCTAAAACCAGTAAGATCACAATCAATGGGATATTCACATGACAATCAATAAGGCATTCAATCGAATGGGATGATTTATACAATTCAAAAAATCAAAGTAACTTTTCTGTTGTTAAAGCAAATAAGTACAGAAGCCAAACAGCAGGGTTAAAGTTAAACTACAGTTTCTACCTGAGGTGATTGCTACCATACTTCAGAGAGAAACATCAATGATGAGAGAATCATTGATCAGCTGCCTCCTGCATGCCTCCCCCCCACCCCCACCCCCCACCTCTGGGGATGAAACCTGCAACCCAGGCATACCCTTGACCGGAATTGAACCCTGGACAAGGTTTCCTTACACCAGTGGTCGCCAGCCTTTCAGACCTCACGGACCACTGGTTGGCGACCGCTGTAAGTTTAGCCCATAGGCCGATGCTCTATCCACTGAGTCAAACCGACTAGGGCTGATTTTCTTTTTAATATTTTTATTGATTTTTAGAGAGGAAGGGAGAGAAACATTGATGAGAGAGAAACATCATTGATTGGCTGCCTCTGCACACCCACTACTAGGGATCAAGCCTGCAACCAGGGCATATGCCCTGACTGGGAATCAACCAGCCACCTCTTGGTTCATGGTTGGATGCTCAACCACTGAGCCACAGGAGCCGGCCCACTGGTTGATTCTTGTCTGTGCCCTGACCAGGGATCCAACCCGAACCTTGGCATTATTGGGAAAGACGATGCTCCAACCAACTGAGCTGCCCGGGCAGGGATAGCTCATTCCTTTTTGATGACTAGGAGAAAACACAAGGGAACAAGAGTCATTCCCTTTTTACATTTAGAAAAACGAAACATAAGTAGGGTGACACCGAGTCATACAACAGCTAAAGGAGAAGAGATGAAATGACCCAAATTCACCTCCTGAGGATTTAAAGATTTCCTCCTATCGGGGTCTAAAACTGCCCCTGGTACTAAGACATCAAGTGTAAATGTACCTGACCCCCCCCCACCTCCCCCCTTCTACCCCCCTTCCTTCTCTCAAGCCCTACTACGATCTTCTCACTTGCTCACACTCACCTAGCACTTTCCAGACTTCCCGCCTTTACAGAAGCAGCTAACCTGGTCTCAGAATGTCCTCTCCGCTTCACTTTTATTTAAAGCCTTTAGAGCTATCAGGAAACAATTGTGGCTGCACCCAGATTGCTAAATAAACTCCAAGCAATCATCCACTGTCCACTGTCACAATCATCTATTTGGGTTGTTGTTTTCATCTTTATGTTAAATTTTCAATTATTTGTATCTTGTCTCCCTATTCCTTGAACGTATACTTTAACATTTGATGATGAAGGGGAAGACCAAAGTGGGTCCCCCCAAAAAGGTCATAAAGTCTATTTATACCAAATTTAAGTTAATTAAGTGGGCTTAGGCAAAATAAAGGTGAGAAGCAAGGGCTTTAAACTAAGTTAGCTTGCTTTTAAATCTGTGATCAGGCACCTAAACTAGTTACGTGATATTCGTCAGGTTACTTAACCTTCCTAAAGCTTCAGACTCTGAATGGAGATAATAATAGCACCTCCCTCATAGGGCTGTGGTAAGAAGCAGATGCAATTCTGCATGTAAAGCAGAATTGTGCGCATAGCTTAGCACAGAGTAAACTTGAAAATATTAGCTATATGGCAATAATGCTGATGGTGATTATGGCAATGATGATGAAAAGGAGGAATTTTAGAATGTTCTTGCACCTTGGAGATCCCAAAGGGGAAATTCAGGACAGTTTGATTTAATCATCTTGGGAGAGAATATGATTCAAAATAGTTGTATACATGAAATCAAGTTTAACCTTTTTTCCACTTTCTCTAGATCTTTGTAGGCTTAAATATTTAATTAGAGCTGAAGTGATTAACATTTAATATGTTTGCTTTATATAGTGGGTACTTCAAAGCTGGAAGTTACAAAACATGGACCACACTTGGCAAGAGCGTTTTATTTACTTAAAACTGCTTTTAAATGTAATTATTAAACATTCAAGTATGTTTCATGTTAAAAGTTACTTTTCTCAAGTGTAGGGAACTTGATGTTTTGATTCATCAAAATGTAGTTTAAATAATAAAAGCAAGAACCACTTGTGCTTGTCTCAAAGAATCTAACAAGGAATCAGAAAAAGCACCATAATTATTAAATGACAAGTGCTTTTAGGAAAATAAAGGCCATAATAATGCTAACAATTCTCTGGAAAGGGGAGAATGTTAATTTGAACAATACCCAAATGAATCCTTAGGTGGTTCCCATATTCTACCTGCTATGGATTTAATCAAGCCTTTGTCAAAGGAATGACTTCAGCGATTTCTGTAATCACAGTTTAGAAGAATTGAGTTTGAAGGGATGCCTGTATACTATTTTTTAAAGTACCTCTGAGTCTAGTTGATGCTTTTTTTTTAAAAACCTCATCCGAGGATATATTTGTTTTTTTCGAGG